CTGGTGTGCCTTGGAATCGCCAGGCGATGCTGGCTAAATACAGATTCCTGGGCCACTCCCAAGCCCTACTGACGCAGTCTCTGGATGAGGCCCCAGGATCGAATTTGAACACTGAGCACCTGGTGAGGCTGGCCGATCTCGGAGAACCCGCCATCTTGCACCTGGTGTCTGTTGTCCTCGGATCTGCCTGGAACATGAAGTGAGGTCCTAACTTCTGTCTACACACGCATGAAGCACAAACAAATCTTCCTCCTGGCAGCTCTGCAGAAGGGCAATGTTTTGGCCTCTGTGTCTCATGCTAGGGTTTGCTCTGCGGCCAGATTTTTGCAAGACAGCTGTGTTTATCTGAGCTGTGATTCCTGCTTCAGAAGCTAAGTGTTTCCAGGTTTGCGTGCTCCCTCAGCACTTCCTCCCAGGTCACACTGCACATGCCCCAGGCCACCCCGCGGGCCAGCTCCGCCTCGGGCTCCCCATCCTAGAGCAGCTATCCAGAAAACACTCACTGCCGGACCCTGCTTTGAGGTGGCAACATTTCGCTTCATATCATGGTTGAGGCTTCCCTGGCTGGCTGACCTGTCGGGAGTTGTTGTTGGGTGCCATCAAGTCGATTTTGACTCCTAGCGACCCCATGTGACAGAGGAGAACTGCCTCATAGGGTTTCCTAGGATGTAATCTTTATCGGAGCAGATTGCCAGGTCTTTTCTCCCTCAGAGTCACTGGGGGAGTTCAAACCGCCAACCGAATGCTTAACCATTGCGCCATCAGGGCTCCCTGACCTGTTGGTAGAGGACTGGGGAAAGCCAGCTTTGACTCAGTTTCCCTTCTGAAAGGGCACCGAGGGGACACAGTAGCAGCAAAGAGGCAGCATAGGATCACAGGCAGGAGCAGCCTGGGCACTGACATCAGGTTCAAATCCTGCCACCACCCTTCATCCGTGACTTGACTTTGGGCAAATTCCCGGTTGACCTAAGCAGTCTCCTAATCCCATGCGATGGAAAACCAGTGGTTCCCACTTCATAGTGTTGCTGAGGTAAATCTGATAACCCTTATAAGGCACTTGGAGTCCCTGGGTGGTGCAAACGGTTAATGTGCTTGGCTGCTACCTGAAAGGTTGGAAGTTTGAGCCCACCCAGAGGGACCTTGGAAGAAAACCAACCACTGAAAACCCTACGGAGCACAGTTCTACTCTGACACACATGGGGTCATGGTGAGCTGGAACTGACCTGACAGCAACTGGTTTATAAAGCGCTCGGCATGATGCCTAGCTCACATTAAGCGCTCAATAAAAGTTGGCTGTTATTAGTATTAGAAGCTGTCTTTAAGTGGAGGGAGGGGACCAAGCACTCAGATTTCTTTGCGGGTGGGCCTCGTCTGTCTCTTCGGTCCACCATTTTCTTCCTCCTGGCCTGCCCACCTCTGCTCTCTGCTCCAACCATTTCTGAAGCGTTATGCTCTGTACCAGCTGCCTTTGCATGTGCTCATCTGCTTTCTGCCGTCACCTGCTAAATCCATGGAAGACTTTAGGATGAACTCCCGCCTCTTCCTCTAGAAACCTTCCCGCAAGGTGGCTCTGGTGCCCCTTTCATGCCTGTCACCTTCTCAAGCGCAGAGGGTGTAGGGGTTGTCTTTGCAGCCACAGGCCTAGCAACGTCTCGGCACAAGGGGAATGTTGTGGAATGGATGAGCCTCAGATGTTTAAGTGTAAGGTAACATGATTTAGTTGACTTAACCCTCATCCCTACTGCATGTCAGATCCTCATTTCCCTCCTGACCCAGTTTAAATTCCAGGAGCCATCATACACACCAGCACCCTCCCCGGCCCTCTCCCCACTTACTGCACTCACCAGGGCAGGACCACAGCCCTGGCTACACTGAACTCCTGTCACCGTCACCGTGAGCGGCCCTGAGCAGCTGAGTGTGCTGGGAAACACAGCAGCACCCCGATGATCTCTCTTCACATTGGGAGCACGCACCGATGGGGTCAACAGCGCTGCCCCCTAGTCTTACCACACCTCACTCCTCTCCCCTCCAGGGATGCGACACCCTTACCTTCCCACTTTCCACACCTCACTCCTCTCCCCTCAGGGATGTGACACCCTTACCTTCCCACCTTTCACACCTGCCTCCTCCCCGCCCAGGGATGTGACACCCTTACCTTCCCACCTTGTCCTCACCTGGTCTATGACCTCGCTCGTTAGTGCACCAAGACAGAGAAGCCACCAGAAGAGAACACCCCCACTTTCCCAGCACTCCCTTCCTACCTGTCTTCGAGCCCAGGGGGCGTTTCAAGTTCCTGTGGTGAACAGGGCATGCCCGTCAAGGCCAGCCCTCCTCAGTGCACCTGATCCCACCTCTCCCCAAGGCCCTTGCTCTGAAGTTCTCTTTTCTCTGGCATTGCTTCTCTCTCTCCTAGATCAGCCGGAACAACCAGGTTGCACCAGCTCCATTTTGACCGCGCTAGCCCAGCCGTCGCCTCCTCTGGCCGGGATCATCACAGCAGCCTCCCAACCTGCCTCCGTTTCACTCTTGCCCCACTACATCCACACAGCTCTAGAGCAGTTTTAAAACAAGCATCACATTGCATGACTCCCCTGCTCCAAACCTTCTACACATAAAACCAAACCCTTGTCACGGAGTCCATTCTGACCCATAGCAACCCTACAGGGCAGAGTAGAACTGCCACACTGGGTTTCCAAGGAGTGGCCAGTGGATGCAAACTGCCCACCCTCTGGTTAGCTGCCGAGGTCTTAACCACTGTGCCACCAGGGCTCCAAGCCCTCCACTGGATCACTAATGTCCTTGCATGACCTCACAGGCTCTGTGTCTGGCTCCTGACTACCTAAGGAGCCCTGACAGCGCAGTGGCCAAGTGCTTGGATGCTTAACCAGATGGTTAGTGGTTCGAATCTACCAGCTTCTCCGTGGAAGGAAGAAGTGGCAGTCTGTTTCCCTAAACAGCTTTGGAAATCCTATGGGTTTGGTTTTTATGTTTGTTTCCAACTACCTGTGTTCCCATCGGGATACCCACCTGCCCCCTGCTCATGTCATTTGTCTCACTAGCAGCTGCCGCCTTCTTTCTGGAACACCCCTGCCATTTTGCTGCCTTGGGGCCTCTGTCCTTGCTTGCTGCTCCTCCTGCCTGGAATACTTACCCGATAGCCACTGGCTTATCTCCTTACTTCAAGGAGTCACGGCTCAAGTGCCAGCTCCCAGATTCCGTCCTGATCCTGCGTTATTTCTCCTTAGCATCTATCACTCTCTGACACTGCATGTCTGTTTTTTGGCCAGTCTTCCCTTTAGGGGTAAGCACTTAGGACGGTACCTGGGACATCACAGGTGCCCAAGGAATAGGTGAATAGAGGAACACAGGAGAAGGAAACAAGATGGCTTCCTTAGTGCGAAGCAGCTGCGTTAGTCCCTAGATCTGCCAAGTCAGGAGGAGTGACCAAAGCAGCAGACCCGTTAGGAGGTGGCCGTGAGTATAAGGAACATGGTTTCTGCAGTCAGGTGGCCTGGGTTCAGATCCTGGCCCTGCCTCTTCCCAGGTGTGCAGCCATCTGTGCGCCGCGACTAGCTGAGGGACAATGGGGCATAGGATCTGCTGCCACAAACGTGATGCAGTTAGAACAATGCCTGGCCCGCTGGATGCACTCTCAAGTTTAGCCCTGTCATCATCTCAATCCGTTAGAGACGTGAACAGGTTTGTTCTTGGCTGGAGCAGCCTTTGCTGCATCAACAGCAGAAGAGCTGATGCTTTGATCCGGCGGCCACTGGAGCTGGCTTCAGGTGGACTTGGATACGGGCCCAGGATGATTCCTTTTTTTAAGCAGGTGAGGGACATGATTAGGTTTGTTATTTTAGGTCACTACAAGGATGCATTCAAAGGAGCAGGGCCTAAGGCAGGCAGATCCTTCAGGAAGCCTTTGTATCCACGCAGGCGAGAGATGAAGCGTCCATTAGCTGAGGTACAAGGGGTGGAAGGAGGAAGGTGGATACGAGAGGTTGTTGGGAGGTAATTTGCAAGACTCAGTTACTGACTGGCTCTGGGACGAGAGCAAGGGGAGTCCCAGGTGATTAGCATGGTGCCCTTTACCCGGAGAGCAGGTCGGGGTGCTGTGAGGATGATGAGGTTTACCAGGATTGGGAGAAGGTGCTGCAGCTGGGCATGGAGATCACCCAGAAAGGGACGCTCCCAAAGATCACAAAAGCCCAGTGGGCCTGAGATGGAACCCAGGCAAGGAAGGGAGATTTTTTTGTTTGGGTCCTGGCTGAAAACCGCCCAGCAGTCTGAGGTCCCAGACAGGCCCAGGCTCCTCAGGTGTGAGGGGTGCAGCCGCCCCAGGCTGCTGGCTTTACAAGCCAGGCCAGGCCAGGCTTGTCTGTTCAGCCTACCACGTGTGGGAGTGGCGCATCCACACCTGGGCACTCCTGTAGGGCAGGAAGCCCATTAGCCCCGAATTCCCTGGTTGTTAGCTGCCACCCAGCTGGCCCTTGACACCTGGTGGCCCTGTGCACAACAAAAGGAAATGCTGCCCAGTCCTACCCCATCTCCATCCCCAAGACCGGTTGTGGACTGAACCACTGTGATCCACAGGGTCTTCACTGGCTGATGTTTTCCACTGGGTCGTTGAAGACTCAACAAGAGAGTGCAGGCAAATTGCCCGACTTTGGTGGTGGGACCATGGTGCCAGCTACATGATGACAGCAAACGTGTACCCAGCACCCAGTCTATGCAGCCTGTGTACTGACGTCTTCCCATGTAATCCCACCACACGCAGGTGAGCCCTCCCCCTTCTTCCCGCCCTGTCATGTGAATAGGAGTGAAGTGGGTGCTGGGGGTGGGGGTGGGAGGGGACCAAAATGCTGAGCAAAGTGCTGGACATTTACTGTCTCCAAAGGACTTGGAACGACCTGTGTTACCTACACCCGAGGCAACTAAAGGAAGTCTCTGTTGCGTCAGAACAGCAGCCGACAACTCACAAAAGGGCCTGAGCTCAGGTGTTTGGGATCAACTGAGAGTATGTTTATTTAAAAGCAGTTTTAAATATTAAAAAAAGTAGAAATGAACACATACAGTACTGAAAAACTGTCACATTAAATACATGTGAAATGACAAGCGTACTGATGGCTGAGCTGAATATCCAGAGGAGAATTCGGAACTTAACTCGTGGCACCGTGGGGTTCCTATACAACACATTGAAGTTCTAGGCAATAAAAAAATAAATAGCAATTGCTGTTCAACAGTAAAATAAGACACACACTATTTGCAGAACATGACACTCCCCTCTGGGGGAAAGAAAAAAGAACTAATTAGCTTTTTTTTTTTTTCCATAAGGTTCCATACCTTCAAAATACTATATCATATACAAAATTGCGGATAGTGGCTCACTGAGTTTAAGAACAATATTGGATTTAAACTCAACCAAGATCACCAAAGGTATCTCTACCTACTTTTCCTATGTCCCACAGTAAGCTGGATTAGAGAGAACTCAAATTCCTGATGGAAAACGAAAACAAAACCAGAAAAAAAAGGAGGGAGATTCAAAAAACGTGTTTGTGTAAGTTGTGCCGCTCAAGGGAAAAAATAGTAAGACACTGACTCCATGTAATTTTACACACAGTTTAATGGTTTTTTTTTTAAACCAGTTTATGTGGAGATCAGTTGAAAAGAGTCTAGACCACAAAAATGAGTAGTTCTTTGATGTAGCTTAAAACATGTGACTGAATGAGGTGGGACACCAAGTCACCTCAGCCCTGACTTCCTGTTGGGACACCTGTGTGACTTAGGTGCCGAGGGTGGCCTCAGTGCTGGTCACCCACCCGCACGTCCACTCCGCCTGCCCTGACCCCAATGAAGCGACCGCTGACAGTCACTTTCCAACAACAGCTGATAAAATACTTGGCAGGGGTGTCATGCAAGGGTTACTTATTAGCTGGTTGAGTCAAGGTTTTCATGGTATTCACTTAAGCAGAACTAAATTCCTATTCACCGAGCACTCTGACTCTATGAAAGAGGGCCTTTCCTAAGGGTGTGTGGCTGGGAGTTGTGCTTCTGTGAAATGAACGAGTCTCCCTCATTGCCAAGACTATCTGCTTAAAAATGGGAGTTTTCTGTGCTGTTGCCAAGGTAGTGTGTAAGCAAATGTAACGCCAGAACCACACATGAGCCTCGGAATCAGAACAGTCCCACTGACCGTGGAGTGCAACTACTGTATCCTTTCCCAGAGTTCAAACGGATGTGACAAGACTGTAACACTCACTATGAGCTCAATGGTCTGATGGACGCGGCCGGACGAACAGAAGGACGAGAGGGAGAGACTAATGGCAGGAAGCGTGTCTGTTCACAGTGCAATTCACAGCAGCGTTCAGAAACTGGGTTATGAACTGACTCGAAGGTAACATGTATGTTGGCGAGAGCTCAAGATTGGAAAGGATATCTACAAATGTGGTGTAATAAAGATCATGGGGCAAAGGGTTGGTTCCAGCACCTGGGTTCCATAATGGGGAAACCGTGAGAAAGGCTGCATTTTAAATTCTTCGTCTTCTTGAATAATCTTCTAAAAGTTTAAGTTTATTGAAGAACAAAACTAAGAAAATAATTTAAAATGGACTCCTTGTATACTCTGCCACAGTTGAGGGACGCTTCTTCCTAACCCGCTATGTCAATTCAGACTCTGGAGGAAGCCAAACGACTGACTAGAAACACATACTGCTGCAACCTTATAGTTTCTGCTTTAATGGCAATCAAGTTTAAAAAACGTACAGTCCACCGATCCGTACTATTCCTTTATAAAAGGCAGGTTTCGGGTAAGCTTCTAACGCATGCATAGAGCAAAGCCTAATGTTTTCTGGCGGTCTTGGTTCCTGAAAGTTAAACTTCATCAAATGTGTTTGAAACTTTTGTCAAAATAGTCATGAAGGACATGTTATTTCTGCATAATGAGGTAATATCTCAGGGGTGGGCACTCACTGTAAGACAGGAGAAATCCGCTCGTCTACACTTGCATGAGGGCGTGTGCACTGTAAAATGCCACCAAGGGTTCTGGGTCAGTGACTGTTTTGCTGAAGGAATAACATTTACTTTGAACTGAGCACTTCTCTGTAATAAATACCAAAGTTGGTGTTTGGAGCTGTAAACTGTGTACGCAGATAACTACAGGCTGGTCTGTCATGGAGCTCAAAGTTTCACCTGGAAAACAGAACCCACCTCTTTGCTAATGTTGCATTTTCAGTAACACAACTGAGAATACTGCACTGTTAGGAACAGTCAATTCTAGGCCTTTCAATGGTTGCTGGCGACCACTTCTACTTGCAAAGCCAGCAGTTTGTATACTCCTGTTTGTCTGCTTGTGAAACAGCATAGAGAGAGACGTAAGTGCTAGATGCCAAGCATGGCTTTGGCAAACCGGTAAGGCGCGCCGGGTTCCAAGGCTACCGTAATACTGGCAAAGGCAGAATACCACAGGATATTTACACACATACTACGTTCACCTCCGGAGGTGGCCCTTGCGTGAGTTTGGGGTTCTGTAACAGCAGCTATATACACGTGGTGCATGGGGTGGCATGGAGGCGGCGTCTGCAGGAAGGATGTGGACAATCGGGAAGGACTGCTTCCTGCTAGTCAGACAGGATGTGCACGAAGGACACGGGGAAGACCCCCTTCCTCTCAGGCTGTCCTTCGATGTGCCCAATCTGCAAGGGAACAGAGTCGTCAAGCAGGAGGCGGCACGCAGTCCCTGGGCCGGGCTGGGGGTCGGGGGGCCCTGCTCACCCTTCACCTCCCTGGGTGGACTCTGCCAATGATCAACTACAGACCAGCAGGACAGCGACCACACACAGAACCGACAACACGCTCAGCACACTCACGCGGGGCTCGCTCACTGCACAGCAGCAGCCCCGAGGGAGAACTTCTTATCATCCTCATTTTATCGATGAAGGGACAGGGGCCCAGAGGGGTGGAATCACCCACCCACGTTTCTCACAAAGGTTCCTGGCTCCAGAGTCCATGCTCTGTACCATGGGGCCTTTCTAAGTGGGTGCCCTTAGACAAATCTCACTAAGCTCTTCTCTTTAAGATAGGGCCTAAAAATCCCTTCTTCCTGGCTTGTTGTGGGCTCACGTTAGAAAAACAAAAAAACAAAAACACACACACACACACAGCCCTGATGGCGTAGTGGTTAAGCGTTAAGGTTCCTAACCAGTTGGCAGTTCGAATCCACCAGTCGCTCCTTGGAAGCCCTATGGGGCAGTTCTACTCTATCCTACGGGGTCGCTATGAGTCGGAACTGACTTGACGGCAACGGGTTCCCAGGTATACACACACATTTGTGTGTACACACACGTACAGTGAAACCTGTGAGAGCTGGAACTCGATGGGAGACTGCCTTGCTTTTCTGGGTCTCGCAAGTTTTTCACCTCTGAGTTTTCCTTCTCTGACAGGTTTCCTTCTCTTACGCAGGTTCTGACTTTTACAGGTTTTACTGTGTGTGGGGGGGGTTTGAGCAGATACCCACACACGTATGTATATGCATGTGGGTCTATGAGTGTATACACACATGTATGTGTGTGTATATATATACGCACAGACACATAAGCATGTATGTGTATGGAAAGGGCTGCTGTGCATGGAGCACTTGTTTTCCAATTGCTTTGGGGGAAAGGATACTGTGAAAGTTTGAGGTTGAGGGCGGCCGATGGCATTTTACTGCCTGCTGCATAAGCCTTTAAGCCGTGGCTTCCTGCGAACATTTTCTGATGACCTCAGTGAGATCGGTCTCACTGCATCCACGGATGGGCGCGTGAAGCACGTTGGTACGTACCCACCACTCCTGGTCCTCCTCGCCCGTGACGATGATCACCTCTCCCTCGATGAACGTCAGCTCGTCGTCATTGTCTGCCTGGCAGTCATAAATGGTCTTCACACGCCTCACTTTATTTTTCCCCTTAAATAAAGAAGTTGGGTTTCAGCTGAAAGAACAGACGGAAAGGGAACAAGGACACGGGGTTCTTCCGTTTACGAGCTGGGAGACGTGGGGTCATGACTTAAAACTCGCTGCACCTCAGTTTTCCTCAACTGTGAAAGGGGGAGAAAAATGTGGCGCTGTTTGTGCTCTCAAGACGCGACCGTCCCTTTCTCTTCCTCTCGTGTCAGCATAGTGTCCCGTGGCAGAGGGCAGGCATCACTGAGTTACTTTCATCAGAGAGCAAACAGCATGGGAAGGGATCAAAATTAGGCTTCCCCAAAAACCATGAAGCCACTGCCCTCCCCCACCCACAACATCAGCTTGCAGCGGTGACAGCAGAGTCTAAAAATGTTTTTGGGAAACATGATGTAAAGCAAAATGTGCAGCTTCTGCATACTGTGAAGCATAAACACATTTCTCTGTTCCTTCATACAAATGACTATGTCGGAACATGCTGGTTGAACACAGCAGGATCAGCCTGGGGTGGGAAAGATTCACGGGATGCTATGCAGTTCCCAAAAAAGTTTCAATTTTTGGTCAGTTTTGAGTTGGGTTTTTATTCTTTGGCCTTCCTGTTCTTGGCAGACAAGAAGATTGAAAATGGAGAAAGCACCTCCTAAGGGACGTTTTAGCAGCCAGCTAGTTAAACAGTAATAAAAAGCCAGCTGTCTCCGTAAATGTTTCAGGTCAAGTCCCTGGTGTCTCCCTTTGTCACCCAATGATCCTGGCTACTCTTTGTAGCTCCCTTCTGCGACCTGTGTGGTGGGGTCGAGGGGCCTGGCTGAACCACGGCAGTGGTTTCAATCTTCTCAGCTGGGACCTTGGGGGCAGCCGAGAAGGCCCACGATGGGGTGTCATTTATAGCAGGGAGGATTTAATGAGATACCAAAGCAACTGGAAAGCAAGTAGCATGAGTTGCTTACGTTTTGCTGGTGAGGCCATCCATGGTGCTTGGGAGACACGGAAGGTTTCCCTCTGGATTATTAAAAGCATCCACCACACTAAACATGGCGGGCTCCACTCCATGGGAGAGTGGGCTTGATTGTTTTACCTTTCCTTTAGTACTGATGGAGTCCCTGGGTGGTGCAAATGGTTAAGGTGCTTGGCTGCTAACTGAAAGGCTGGAGGTTCAAGTCCACCCAGAGATGCCTCAGAAGAAAAACCTGGATATCTGCTTCCAAAAAATAAGCCACTGAAAACTCTATGGGGCAGAGTCCTACTCTGACACACCTGGAGCGACCATTACTTAGAATCCACTTGACTGTCACTTTTTTTGTACTGATGTTTGACATTATTTTTATACTGAAGTGTGAGTGGGGACAGAGCTGTCACATACAACAGCAGGTCTTCTGGTTTCCCCCCATCACCTGTCCTCCTCAAGCTGGGGCGGGGGGGCAAGTGCTCTGGAGGGGTGCAGTGGTCTATGGAATAAATAGCACATATCTTCCTTGTGCATCTCATTTCCAAAAAGATTTGGGGGAAAAGAGGTAATCTTTATATTAAGATATATTATGGAATAGAAAGCATTTCATGAAAATGACTGAATGTGAGACTTCAATGCGATTTTGGGTTTGTGGGCATCTTTTTGGGATTTGCCTCCAGTTCCTCCAGGAAGAGGAAGTCAAGCCCTGACTTAGAAGATGCTCGAAGCCTGACAGGGAGACTGCACTCTTGTGACTGAGGGAAAGGACGGTTTCATCCCTGAGGTCCCCAGGTAAGAGCTGCCCCTCAGTATGTGCTCCATGCCAGCAAGTGCTGCTCACTTGTCACTGCACTGAACTGTCCATGAGCTCAGTTTCTGTATTAGCTCTTCTTTGAATACAGGAAAACTGAGTCTCAGAGCAGGTAAATAACTTGCCAAGGTCATGGGGTTATACCTCACACTGAAGCCAGGTCTTGAAGCCTGTCTGTTAGTCTCAACCAGCATTCTGGATTCTTAACCACTAGGCTCCACTCCACCACATGCTTGACCCAAAGCAAAGTATAGCTTGTTAGCAGAGCAAACTCTTGATTTCCCTTGTCTAAGTTGAGCACATACCCTCCTACCCGGAAACTGGTGCCCACCCACCGTATTGATCTTTCTGGGCAGTGGTACAGGCGTCTCCGGCAGAGTGGGTGTGAGGTCGTTGGAGTCTTCGGATGCTTGCTTTTGGAGGGCGTCTCTGGACTGCACGTTTGGGGAGAGATCCACAGGGTGTGACTTCTGAGGGATGTCCAAGGGCTGCTGGGCCTTGGGCGAGACCTCTCCCACCTGGGATTTTGCTAGCAGGTCTCCCAGCTGTGGCTTGGGGGGCAGGTCCTTCATCTGTGGCTTGGGAGGTAAGTCTGAGAGCTGGGGTTTGGGTGGCAGGTCACCCAGCTGTGGCTTGGGGGGCAGTTCTCCTGGCTTAGGTGGCAAATCTGCAATTTGGGGCTTGGGGGCCAGTTCTGTGGGCTTTGGGGGCAGGTCTCCAGGTGGTGGCTTCTGGGGTAACTCTGCCAACTGGGATGATTTCTGGAAGATTTCGGGTGGGACGTTGGCTTTGTCTAGGGAGAGATGATGGCTGGTTTCCGTCTTCCTTAGTGCCACTGAGGGAGCAATCACAAAGAGGGGACTCAGTGGAACAGAACACAAGGAGGGAAGGGCTGCTCTTCCCCGTCAGTCAGCGGAAGGAGACACTGCCACCGTGAGGAGAACGGATCTACGTGAGCACCTGGCATGAAGGACCGAGGGTGAGGGTCAGGCCCAGGCCCAGGCCCAGGCGGCCTGTTTTAAAAAGACAGAAATTTAGAGCCTGGCAGAATCCATACCACAATCCATATGATTTCATGCCTCAATCATGCAGGGACAGGATGGCCAAACTAATCCAGAATTAAAACAAACGAACAAAAACAAACTAGAAACACAGATTATAGAAAATTAGAAAGTACAGAGTTAAAAGAAAACTTTTCCACAAATCTATCATTTCAATGTAGCCATTTAAAATATTTTGATATATTCCTTCTCGGTTTTTCTATATATTTTCTATAGACATAGCTTTTATCCTGTTTTTACCTATAAAATGTTTTAAGAAGAGAACTTGCTGTGTTATTAAAAATTCTTTATTAGCAGTATATGATTTTAACTGTTACATTCTATTCCTTTCTGTAGCTAGACAAAATGAGGGCATTAGCTTCATAATTTGTTACTAATGCCCTCATTTTATCTGATTCATGAAACATACAAGACAAAAGGTACAGTTTTTCCTCTCACCATCCCTTCCCCTACCTGCCCGAACTGATGATATTTTTGTGATTTCATCATCCATGTACTAACAAACACACCTGTGCTTACGAATATCTTTCTTAAAAACCATTAACGGGGTTTACAATATGCACACTGTCTGTAACTTTTTTTTTTCACTTAATATTTGGAGACTTTCCAAGCCAGCTCCTCCTTTTCCCTGGAATGGCTGAGAGCACTCCATATCATGGGGAGGCTGCAGTGGGCTCACCCATTTCCACAGCTCTTTATACGGCTCTGTGCAGTAGCACTGGGGACACAGAGAGTAGTTATGACTCGATATGTCTCCAGTTCTAGATCCACCACTTACTAGCTGTGTGACCTTCGGCAAATTACACAACCTCTCTTTGCCCCACCTGCCTCATCTCTAAAAACACAGCCTCATAGGGTTGTCATGAGGATTATGTGAGTTAACATACGAAAAAAATTTACTAACAGGATGTGGCAGGCTCTATTATATAGGAGTATTATCGTCATCATCATTATTCAAAACGGTTCCTTGAGGCCAAGATTTATATTTTTACTCACTTTTGTCACTGTGGAGCCCTGGTGGTGCAGTGGTTAAGAGTTTGGCTGCTAACAAAAAGGTCAGCAGTTCGAATCCACCAGCAGCTCCCTGGACACCGTATGAGGCAGTTCTACTCCATCCTATAGGGTCGCTATGAGTCAGAATCGACTCGATGGCAATGGGTTTAGTATTTTTGGTTTTGTCACTCTGGCTCCTGGCACAAGGGGCTAAGCACATAGTAACCTCTCTGTGAGGAAGTAGCTGACTCAGCCACATCAAACCAAGGATTTTATCTAAAAATATAAAGTATTCAGAAAGACAGTCTCACAGTTAAGAAAAAAAGAAAAGATATAGTCGAGTGCTGTAAACTGTCACAAGCTGTACTAGGGCGGGCTCTGCTCATGGCCTGCCAGCCACATCTCTTCCAAGGAAATCCAATTCAAGGGCATACCGCTCACACCCTTGAACTTCAGCTGATGTGGCCTGGCTCAAAAAGTTGAACGAGGCCAGTCAGACCCCCCTCTTGGAAGATTTAAAACAGAGTTAAAAAAAAAAAGGCCTGAGGAAGGCAGAAATGAAGGAGTGGCTGGGGATTCCCCGATGTACCTTGCAAGCACAGCCATGCGTGAGTCCCACTTACGGGGAACAGAAACCCTGAGCAGTCACTGTGTACCCCAACCCTGAAAATATGCAAGCCTGTGCACCCGCACTTCCGACTCTGGAATTTATCCTGAAAAAAATAATCAAAGACACGCACCGAGATGTCTGTGCTGGAGTGTTCAGTGCGGCATCATGCAAAATGGAAAAACTGCCAACCATCTGCATGTCTGAGTACAAGTGCTTAACACATCACGGTGCCGCCCGCTGGAATGCTACCCAGCCAGTAAAAGCTGGGGCACAGTCATGTCATGGAAAATGGTTTCGACTTACTATGTGAAACAGAATCAGTTTGATAGAATTTTTTTTTTTTTAAATATGAGTATAGAAAAAAGACTAGAAGAATATACCAAATTGGTTATCTTGGGTGCCAAGACTTCAGGTGGTTTATATTTTCATTTTTTGGTTATCTGTATTTTTCAAACACTCTACAATGAAATGTGTTACTTTTATAACATGAAAAAAAAAAAAAAAAAGGAAAGTGATCAGCTCTCCTTTAGGGGAGCTGTCTAACCCATGGCTATTTTACTTCTAAGCCGGCTTTGACTTTTCCTCTTTCTAGTAAAGGTCCTTTCTGAACTGCATCCTTACACTCTGAAGGGCAGACAAGCGAGGTTTCCCAAGAACTGGATTACAGAGGAGGACACTGCTAGAGAAAAGCACATTAAGAAAAGGAAGGACATCTCAGGACAGGGGGACTGCTGAGTAAACGGGGACCCTGCACTCAGCGGGAGAGCGTAAATGCTGAGATGGCAAGTAGAAAAGGCCAGGCTGCAGAGAAAGCCGTGTGTTCTCAGAAGGGGTCAAGGAGCTGTGTTACAGTGGGAATTGTGGGTTCCTTTTTTCATTTAAAAAAGTCTAATGTTTCCATAATATTGCTTGTTATCAAAACAGTGCTTTTAAAAAAGAGCTCAACTGTAGCTGTCTGTCTCCAGTCAAGAAGGCTTTAAATGAGCCCTCCTAAAAGGTACGCAAAAGATTTAAAAAATGGGTGAAGCTTAGGAGGGGAAGGAGGGAGACCTGGCCAGGACACAGAGCACGTGAAGATGCCAGCTGGGGTGGACACCTGGGGGAGGGCAGGGAAAGGTGCCGCAGCCCCTCCCCTTCCCTTACAGATGCTCTCTGCCCCTAGGGAAGGGGTCAGAAGTACACGGTGACACCCCAGGGGAGACTCAGTGGTCTGATGGCGGCCCCTAGGGGAGGAGGGGGTCAGAAGTACACCATGACACCCCAGGGGAGAGACTCCAGTGTCTGATGGCAGTGACTGTGCGGCCAAACAGGGCTTAAACCACCAGGTGAGCAAGCTCCCTGGCTCTCCCGCTCAGAGCCGCAGGCCGGGCCACAGCCTCTCCCTATGCACTGTCCCCGCTGGAAGTGACAGGATGTCTAGGGGTGGATGGGTAGGTAAAAGATGAAACAAGGTTAGGTATGAAGTGATCATTGTTGACAATGGATGATAAGTATCTGGGTGGGGTGGAAGAGCTTCATTACACTATTCTATTTTTGTACAGGATTATGGGAAATCTCAAATAATAAAAAACACACAAAGAGAGGAAGAACTAGAGTGGAGAAGTGGGTGGTGGTCGGAGGGAGACAGGCCAAGACAGGAGCTGTAGCAGCACCTGTGTCCTCTGATGGGACAGTGAGGTGCTGGCTCCAGTAGGTGATGGAGACGGGCCAGGCGCATCATGCAGGGTCTGCCTTCATAGCACGGCCGCTGCTTCCTGGGTGCCGAGTGCAGGTGGTGATGGCAGGGGGTGGATCATGGCCTGAGTCACTGAGAAAACAGGAGCAAAGTCCTCCGCTGAGCGAGAGGGTGGGGGATGAGGGACTGGTGGTCTGAGTGGAAAAGAGAAGGTGTGAGTAGTCGTCTAGGAGAACAGCAAGTACGTGGAACCAGGTAGGCCTGCAGGGCAGTGCTGAGTACCTCTGAGGTCAGTGGTCATGAGTTCAGAGGCAGATCAGCTGCTCCCCAGCCACATTCTGTCAGGGCAGTCAGTTAAGTGGATGGAACTAAAGCAAGGGCGGGTGAACACTTCATCAAAGAAGACATTCAAGCGGCCAACAGACAAATGAGGAAATGCTCGCAATCACTAGCCATTAGAGAAATGTAAGTCAAAACTACAATGAGATACCATCTCACCCTGGCATCACTGGCATGAATAAAAAAAACAGAAAATAACAAATGTTGGAGAAGCTGCAGAGTGACTGGAACTCTTATGCACTGCTGGTGGGAATGCAAAATGGTACAACCATTTTAGAAAATGATATGGTGCTTCCTTAGAAAGCTGGAAATAAAAATACCATATGATCCAGCAATCCCACTCCTAGGAATATATCCTAGAGAAATAAGAGCCGTCACACAAACAGACACATGCACGCCCATGTTCACTGCAGCAAAATTCACAACAGCAAAAAGATGGAAACAACCTAAGTGCCCATCAACAGATGAACGGATAAACAAACTACGGTACATACACACAATGGAGTACTATGCAATGAGAAAGAACAATGATGAATCTGCGAAACATCTCACAACATGGATGAATCTGGAGGGCATTATGCTGTGTAAAACAAGTCAATCACAAAAGGACAAATACTGTATGAGATGACTATTATAAAACCTCATGAAAAGGTTTACACACAAAAAGAAACAATCTTTGATGGTTACAAGGGAGGGGAGAGGAGGGAGTAACACTAAACAGAAAATAGATAAGTGCTAACTTCGATGAAGGGTAGGACAGTACACAATACTGGGGAAGCCAGCACAACTTGACCAAGGCAAGCTCATAGAAGCGTCACAGACACATCCAAACTCCCTGAGGGACTGAGTTATTGGGCTGAGGGCTGGGGACCATGGTCTCGGGTGACATCTAGCTCAATTGGCATACTATAGTTTATAAAGAAAATGTTCTACATTCTACTTTGGTAAGTAACATCTGGGGTCTTTCTTAAAAGCTTGTGAGCGGCCATCTAAGATCCTCCATTGGTCTCACCCTGTCTGGAGCACAAGGGAAAGATTATTTCAAAGGACTAACGGACCACAACTACCACAGCCTCCACCAGACTTGAGTCCAGCACAACTAGATGGTGTCTGGCTACCACCACCAACTGCTCTGACAGGGATCACAATAGAGGGTCCGGGACAGAGCTGGAGAAAAATGTAGAACAAAATTCTAACTCACAAAAAAAGACCAGACTCACTGACAGAGACTGGAGAAACCCCGAAAGTATGGCCCCCAGACACCCTTTTAGCTCAGTACTGAAGTCACTTCTGAGGCTCACCCTTCAGCCAAGGATTAGACAGGCCCATAAAACAAAACGAGACTAAACGGGCACACCAAGCCAGGGGCAAGGACAAGAAGGCAGGAGGGGACGGGAAAACTGGTAACAGGGAACCCAAGGTTGAGAAGGGAGAGTGCTGACACGTTACAGGGTTGGCAACGAATGCCACAAAACAGTATGTGCATTAATTGTTTAAGGAGAAACTAACTTGTTCGGTAAACCTTCGTCTAAAGCATAATTTAAAAAAAAAAAAAAAAGCAGAGTGCAGTGAGGGAGTGGAGGGGGAGTGTTGGAAGCGATTTTAGGGATGGACCAATGTAGGGCTAGGAGGGAAACAAGGACGTGAAGGGGATGAGGGACAGTGACCAGGTGGTGGCACCCACTGACACATCCCTGTGGGGACTAAGCACTGCTGGAGTTTGGGTGCTAGAGGAATGAGCCGGAAAGGCAGCTGGGACGGACTGAATGGTGCTGTGTGATCAACAGGGGGAAGATGCCAAAAACAAAAAACAAACAAAAAGCCCCAAACCCATCGCCATGGAATTGATTCTGACTCATAGTGACCCTATAGGGCAGAGTAGAACTGCCCCATAGAGTTTCCAAGGCTGTAAATCTTTACAGAAGCAGACTGCCACATCTCTCTCCTGTGGAGCGGCTGGTGGGTTCAAACTGCCGACCTTTCGTTTAGCAGCCGAGCACTTAATCAGTACGCCACCAGGCGTCCTTAATAAGGGGATCAAAATCAAATCCGTTGTTGTGGAGTCAATTTGACTCACAACAACCCTATAGGACAGAGCAGAACTGCACCATATGGTTTCCAAGGCTGTCATCTGAACAGAAGCAGATTGCCACAGCCTTCTCCAGTAAGGCAGATAATGCCTGGGAAACTTCTGTCAAACGTCTCTGAGACCAGGACAGATCTTTGGGCAGAGGTTAAAAGAAAAAAAATCTGAGACACAGACTCACTAGGCCCAGGGGAAGCCTTCCTTTCTATTCCATGGAGGCTGACTGAGCAGCCACTGGGGCTTCCTTCATCTCACTGCGGGGGGCCTGGCTCGACCAGTCAACGCTCCTCCACATACATTACTTTGTGGAAGAACTGTGGAAAGAGGTGAATTTCAACATCCCACCCAACGTTTCTACTCAAAAATGGCAGCAGAGCACTGGGCCGGGGTCAAACGTGTGGTGGGCTCCGGTCTTCCTGCTGCCCTGAACTCCTGTGAGGCCCAGTCTGCATCTGACGGGCTCGTGGGGATCAAGCGAGCCCAGTGCTGCTGAAGGTGGCATGCCCCTCTAAAGCTAACGTACTGCAACCAGATAAAGGGAGGACTATCATTCTTTTTATTGTTTCCCACACAAAAATTAATACATACATTGTTATGCGACTCTAATTGCTCTCCCCATACTGTGACAGCACACTCCTCCTTTCCACCCCGATTCCCCATGTCCAGTCAACCAGCTCCGAACCCTCTCTGCCTTCCCATCTCACCTCCAGACAGAAGCTGCCCGTTTAGTCTCTTGTATCTACTTGAGCTAAGAGGCACACTCCTCATGAGTATCACTTTATGTCCCACAGTCCTGTCCAATCCCTGTCTGAAGAGTTGGCCTCGGAAATTGTTTTATTTCTGGGCTGATAGAGAATCCAGGGGCCATGCCTTCCGGGGTTCCTCCAGTCTCAGTCAGACCATTAAGTCTGGTCTTCTTACTAGAATTTGAGTTCTGCACCCCACCTTTCTCCTGCTCCATCAGGGACACTCTGTTGAAAGAGACCACTATCATTCTTGCTGTCATAAGGAGACTGAAATTTTGGTCTTACAAATGGAAAGCTTGTTCGGGATTAAAGAAAATTTGGTCAAAGAGCTGAGTGTCTTAGTTTGGCACAGGAGCGGCGGCTAGAGACACTGCTTTCTTGTACTTCGCGGAGCCCGGGCCCTTCTGCTTTGCACTGCAGATGCTGCCCCACCGGCGGGGGGCTTTCTGAGGCACGATGTCATCCTGCCCCCATTTTACAGAGGAGGAATCTGAAGCTTGCTCAAGGCCACACAGATCGCAAGTGGTGGAGCTGGCATTTGTTCCCAGGTCTCTCTGATTAGGTTTGCAAGAAGAGAAAGAATGGTGCCCACAGGCTATATTAATGCATCTTCTTAACAAATATCATGTTTTTAAGAAAAACTACGATGTTTTGCTAATCACAGAATTTAAATTTATAAATACCTTTTCTTCATTTAGCAAATATTTATTGGGTGTCTACTATGTGGCATTTGGGATAGGTCAATGAGCACAAGAGACAAAGATCCCTGTCCCTTGGAGGACACAGTGACACTTCAGTTACATGCGAATAGGAATAAGATACATCTTACCTTTCTGAGGTAGTTTAGGAAGAACTCTTGGACCAAGGGCAGTCTTTGCAGAACTGGTGCTAATTAACAAATAAGAACCATTTAGGATCTAAAATATTATAGTATCAGTACCCATCACCCTCCCACTGCCACTGAGTCAATTCCAACTCAGAGCGACCCCACAGGACAGAGGAGAACTGCCCCACTGGGTTTCCAAAGCTGTAAATCTCTATGGAAGCAGAGCGTCACATCTTTCTCCCAAGGAGCCATTGGTGGTTTCGAACTGCTGACCTTTCGGTTAACAGTCAAGCGCTTTAACCACTGCACCACCAGGGCTCCTAACAATATTATACAAGGAAATCAAGAGAGTTGGCAGAATTATCTAGAAAATACTTTCAAAATTCCTTTAGCAAAAGATTATAATCTATTTTCCATAATTCAAAGTTTGTCTGGCTGGGGGTGGGGGTGGGGGGAACAGGGTTAAAAACAAAACAGAAAAACCCCTCTTAGTGATAAAGCCTAACTCCTCCTCTTCAAGCCTTTCCTAGAGGTAATGATGTTTATCAAAGCACTAGACACTGTAAATCATGACCCCCAACGTCAGCTACAGCTATTACACAGAAGCAGCTCACCTCACGTGGCCCTGCAATATAACTCTTCATCTATGTTGTCAGTAAGGACACTTAAGGGGGTGGGTGGGTTTTAAGTGGCTTGCTGAAGGTCACGTGTCTGGTCAGTGGTGCAAGTGGAAATTTAGGCCTAGCTCTGCTTCCAAAGCTCTTGCTTCTTCCACTGTTTCTAGGTGCCATCAAGTTGATTCTGACTCACAGTGATCCCATGTGACATAGTAAAGCTGCCCCATAGGGTCATCTCTATGGAAGCAGATCGCCCGGTCTTTCTCCCTCAGATCCCTGGGTGGGTTCCAACTGCCAGCCTTTTGGTTAGCAGCTGAGCTTTCAAGCATTGCGCCACCAAGTTCTCAGATCTTCATAGTCTTTCCCTTCTTTGGTGGACTTGTAAGTGAGTGGGGGGGGTGAAAAACGCCCAAGTGCCTGCAACAGGCAAAGGCCAAGACCATGTTGTCTGAATAATCAAATGTTAATCCCTACCTCCTGCCACACTGGAACGCCACTGCTGCGGTGGCATCTATTAGCCAGAACCCACGAGGGGTTTATAGCTGTTCTCAGGACACCCACGAGCACTGCGGATCCAGAAAGCAATGGACCACAGTGCCGGAGCCCATCTGCCAAAAACCCCCTTTTAATATCTTGTATTTCCTTTTTTGTTTTCTGGTGTCCTAGCCTAAGATTTGGCTTTTCCCCCAACTTTCTATCCCAATTACATTTTTTTTTTGTTTAAAAAAAGGAAAAACTAAACCAACCAAACAAAAAGAAGTCAAGGAAAGGAGAGGATATGTCTGCGTTCCCTTCTGTCCTTCCTAGTCCTCAGGTCACCCTGGGTCTTAACTGCTTTCCTCGACCCCTGCGAAATCCCACTAACCTCAGGGATAACCCACTGCCCTCGAGTCGATTCCGACTCACAGCATCCCTATAGGACAGAGTAGAACTGCCCCGTATGGTTTCCAAGAACTTTCTGGTTAGCAGCTATAGCTCTTAACTACTACGCCACCAGGGTTTGGGCTCCTGGAGGATGATGTCATTGAGACAGAGCCATTGCTAAATAAGAAATGGTGAGTGTGAGGAGATTTTGCTTATGATTTCTTTTGGAATATGTTTTTCCAGTGCCCTGCCTCAGCATCTTTTCCAGAAGCACACCTGCCAATGACTGATCTGAGCACCGAGATTATTCCTGGCTATGTGACTAAAGCAGAGGCCTGGGGTTTCAGAAACCCTACACAGAATGCCCCGGACTGACACTGCGTGTGGGTGGACCTGGACTTCCTGCTAGGAACACGAGGCCTCTGCTGCTGGTGATGCTGTGTGCATACATGTGTGCATGAGTGTGCCTGGGGTGAGGCTGAAAACATAACGAATCGCCAATGCTCTAGTTTACAATCAGCTTGACCCAGTTTAACAACCTTTTTATGAGCCTTTATCTATGTCGGACACTGTCTCTACTCTGGAAGACCACCAAAACTTCTGTTTCAAAGCGACCCTCAGGGCAGGGATGAAGGAAGAGAACTGAGTGAGGAATGAAAAGCAGGGCATGTGGGGAAGGAAGGAGTGTGGGCCTTGGAGAACGGGCAGATCTGAGGGTCAGCTCTGCCATCTACAACTGTGTGACCTGTACTCAACCCCTCCGGGCCTCCATGTCCTCATCTTTAAAACTGAGGATGGTACTAATGGGACCCACCTCATGTTGGTTGGAAAGATTAAATATGATAGTGGTAGTAAAGGAAATGAGGATTTTGTGCCTTTATCTTTGCTAAACTCTGGAAAGTCTCGGTCTGGAAGTGGCTCTGTGTCTCCACCTCGGCCTCACGCATCGAGAGAACCCTCTGGGTTAGGATGGGATAAACACTGCCCAGAGAACAGCTTCCACAGTACCCCGTCTGAGTGAATGGAAGGAAGAAAGGAACATAGCTTTCAGTAAAGCCTAAAACCCTTCAGACAGGGAGACGAGAAACAGTCATATTCATATGTGTGAACGTCTCCGGATATCAGATTTCCCCAAGGAATATCTTTTCATTCCCAAGTCTGCAAAAAGGAGCCAAGAGGCAAAGTAATAAAACAAAATTACTTAGTTAAAAAATTAAAAACTCACTGGAGCATAACTGTTAAAGATGCGTGTAGATCCCTGTGACCCACCCTCGGGGGAGTGTAAAGCAGGACAGAGCAGAGCCGGGCCCTCAAAGCACGGTCTGCAGACTGGTGCTGGCGAGACCACGTGCTGAGGGCAAACACTTCCTTTCTCGTCATGGACCAGCACCAGTTGGCTTAGCACACCTAAACAGCATTGGGAAGGCTGCTAAAACCCATTCCCATACTTCTCTCCATTGCAACTCTGAGCCCAGTGAGTGACAGAAAGTGCTAGGGGGCTTACCTTGACTGCTGAGAGAGCCCCTCAAACTTATTTGCCGTCTTGCTCGAAGATGATGGACCCACATCGTTACCTACAGGGAAAATCAAATGTAGCAGTCTGCATCTTCAGACACGGAAAAGGAACACAGGGATATGTGCATTTGGCAAACAGAGCAGGAATCTCTCAGATTCCAGAAAGGCATTTAAAGACACAACCCAGAACAGTAGGCACCTCTGTCGTTAAAACAAAACAAAACTAAGCCAAGTTCTGGGGCTTTGACGACATGCTTATTGTTATGAAAGGAGTCTGTCTAAGAGGTGGGCAGCTGGCTCCTAGGGCTCGGCTTCCTAAGATGACAGGACCTTGGTGATGTCCCATGGGCTCAAGATCTTGTTCTTAGCAAGGGGGCAGAGGAAGAGGAGTAAAATTCCAAGTTCACTCAGTGGTTCCCATGTCAGGAGACTTTCCCAGTAGCCATACTTAGAAGAAACATCCAACTCACAAGTTACGTGTGTGTGTATGTGTGTGTGAGTGTGTGTGTGCGTGCGTGCGTGCGTGTAGGCGAGCACTATTTAACGGAGTAGTAATACTGGTCATCTCAGATCTCAGTCATGTATTTAGTCATCATTCATTCAAACATCAACATTTATTAAGCACCTACTGTGTGCAAAGCACGAATATGGAGCAGGAGCACAAAAGTAAATACAATGTTGTCACTGCTCTCACGGAATATACCATCCAGCCTGAGAAATTCATACACAGCTGTACTAATAATGTGGAATGAGTAGAGTTGGTTACTATAAAAATGCAGAGAAAACAGTGTCTAAAATCTAACCGGGAAGAGGGGGCAGGGAACACTCTTTGGAGAACATGGCATCTGAACAGGGAGAGCTTTCTAAATGAGGGAGTAGCAAAGCCAGAGGCACGAGGACACTGTCCAGGAGAAGGTAAAAAGACTGGTTTGAATAAAAGGGGGCTGTTTTCTGTGACTCATCACACAATAAAGGGCAGTCCTGGGGCCCTATACTGGGTTGAACAGTTTCCCGTCAAAATTCATGTCTACCTGGAATGTGTGAATGTGAGCTTATTTGCAAATAGGGTCTTCGTACATGTAATCAAGTTAAAATGAGGGCACACTGGATTAGGACGGTCCTTAATCCAATGACTGGTGTTCTTATGGGAGGGAAACTGAATACAGAGACACAGAGGGAAGACAGTCATGTGAAGACGGAGGCAGACATGGGAGTGATGCACCTACAAGCACAGGAATACCACAGGTTGCCAACAGCCACCAGAAGCTAGGAAGAGGCAAGGAAGGATCCTTCTCTAGAGCCTTTGGAGGGAGTATGGCTCTGCTGACACCTTAATATTGGATTTCTGGCTTTCAGAACTGCGGGAGAATAAATTTCTACTGCTTTAAGCCACCCAGCAAATTAACAGAGGCCCCAAGTTACCAGGTGCCTAGAAAGGAATCCTCTTGAACCTGCAGGGTAAAACTGTCTCTGTGGCTCTAGTTCATTTCCTTGCCTGCCCTCCCAATGACTGCTCTGGAGAGCCACCTTTAGCAGACTCCCTTCCTCTGACCGCCCTGCCCAGAGGCCCAGAAATGCGAAGGCAAGGTGAAGGAGACAGGAGTTGAGAAAAGGACTTAACTGATCATCACGCAACCTATCTGCTCAACAGCATCAACAGCTGCCCAAATGCTTTCACATCAGTCCTGTCATCCTACCTCACAACATGAGAAACTGGTGTTATTATACCCATTTTAAAGATGAGGAAACGAGGGTAAGTGAATGAATGGCTTCAGGTCACATGGTTAAATGTGTACTTAGGAGCCCTGAGCTCAGTCTATGTGCTCTTCATTGCCCATCATATTCCCCAATAGTAACAATAACAGTGACTTCCATTTACTGAGCACTTACCGTGGTGGCGCACTGGTTAGGTGTTTGGCTGCTAACCAAAAGGTCGGCAATTCGAATCCACCAGCCAGTCCCTGGAAACCCTATGGGGCAGTTCTACTCTGTCCTATAGGGTTGCTATGAGTTGGAATTGACTCAAGGGCAGTGGGTTTGTCTTTTTGACTATGAGTAAGGTATCGTGTTAAGGATCATAATATGGTTAATTATGCTTATAAGATAGGTAACAGAATCCCCTCTTTTATATATGGAAAAAACACAGAGAAGAGGTAAAGTAACTTGCCCAAGGTCAAGTAGCTGGTAAAGGTCAGAGCAGGGCCAAAAGCTGGGCAGCTTGCCTCCAGGTCTGCACTCTGAACTACCACACTCTATCACATCCCAACTCTGTCAGAGCAGGGAGGAGGGGGTCCTACTGCCCCTCTGGAGAGAACGTGTGGTAACTCTTGGTATATCAATGCAAGAAGAAACAAGCAAAACTGGAGTTACCAGGACCAAAGACTTTCAAGTTTAGTTTTGCTTAATTTTAGTAAGATATTCCTTCAAGTCATCAATACATTTCCAAGAGCCCATAATTTAATACTTGAGGACTTCTTTGGAGACTTCTTACTAAATCCTCTGACTGTGCTGTGATTCCCTTTAAGGCAGGCATTTCTTCTCAGCTCCATGCTCACCCCCGAATCTCCAGGGCTGGCTCTCAAACCTCACACCTTCAGACTGAAATGAGCTGTATCAATCAAGATGTCAAAGAAATCCCCATGTCTGGGGAATAAACCACTGCTAATTCCCTTTCTAGGCAGTAAGCATTCCAAGCAAGTGATTCTTAACCCAGTTGTGTATGGGAATGGGAATGCGAGACCCTCAGGGCTGCGAAGGCCCCGGCCCTGCTTGTGGTCCCCCACCTTGCTGTCACACATGCGACTCAGCGTGTTGGGGCTGCTGCCCGCTACCCACAGGCCCAGATGCCCAAAGTTCTTATTTAACCCTCCTCTCTGGCCACTCGAGGTGACTCTCTGATCTCCAAAGACCATATGCGTTTTTATGGTCCTTCTGTCCCTTCTGCCTGGAACGCCTGTTCTCTTCCACTCGTGGTAGAAATTCCTATGCAACCTTCAAAGAACATCTCCAAAGCCACTGCCTGAGAATTCTTCCCTAGCCAGACCTGACCACTCCCTGTTGTGAGCCCATGACCTCATCAGGCAGGAGAGGTCAGGACTGTAGATTTGGTCGCCTGACAAGGCTGGTTGTGAATTCCAGCTCTACCACTGACCAGTGGGTATGACACTGGATTAAACTGCTTATTCTGCTAAGCCTCAGTTCCCTCCTTTATAAAATGGGAATAATAACCGCACCTATCACACTAAATGGCTAGGAGATTAAAAGAGCAGCTATGGAGTGCTGAGAACAGTGCTGGTCTGCAGCAATCACCGCACAAGTGCTTGTTACTATTACTCACAGCTCTTTGGGCAAACAGCAGAAATGAGGAGGATTTAGTCAGTGTGTGAGCCCTCCAAGGCAGGGACGCTGCCTTGCTCATCTTTGTGACCCACTTCCTAGCACGGCTGGGATACGGACGGACCACAGTGCTGACTCGGCAGCTTCTCTGCCCGCGGCTTGACTGAAATCTTGCACACCTGGGTGGGTAGTCATCTTCTCTCTCTCTCTATGTAAACAAATGTTTATAAAACTTCCAGTCTCAGCGACTAAAGATGAGGCACACAAGTGACTTCCCAGAGGCCACTCAGCTAGGGACTGGTAGAAACTGATCAGAACTTGGGCCTCCAGTGTTCCTGCAGGGTACCTGATGGCTTATTGTGATGTGCACCACAGACACTTCTCTGAATACTCGCCAAGGACAGGGGGCCCAGGGGAAGACACTCTCAGGTGTTAATTACAAGACTCTCCAGTGTGAGAACGGAGTTCATCCCCTAACCACCATGAGGGTCAGTTCTACTTTTTTCTTTGCTCTTCTCGCCTGTAAGGACCTCAGAGAGTCAAATCTGTGGTCCACTTGCAGCTACTGGATGTGACCTTATGCTATGCATTTTGATGACATCACGCTCCTCGACTTGATCTTACTTTGCTACCTTTATTCACTTTTTGTCCTCATTTCCTTATTATCTTTATTCTGAATTGTTTTAAAATATGTCTTGGTCTGTTAGAAGGCAGGTTATAAATAAATTTTACCTCAAAAGGGGAAGTTTAAAGAAGTGCCACTTCAAAAATCATAAAGTCCCCACAAAACCCAAATCTGCCCACAGGCCTATTTGTTATCTGATCAAACGAGTGCCTTAGAAGTCTCCTGGGACGGATGCCTGAATTCATCACAGAGGCAAGCTGCAGTAATGTGAGGCCTGGGCTATTTTGGTGCTGTGGACACTGAGGTTCTGGCAAGGAGAAAGCCTGGAGTGGAGCACTGCCCCGGCGCCGCACATCAGGGCTCAGTGCTGCAGGAGGACCAGGCGTCTCAGCCGGGCGTGGGGAGAGTGCTCCTGTTTTCTGGGCTCCCTGTTCTAATGGACCACCTTCTTCACGTCTTAGCTCAGGGGCAGAGAAACAACCGCTCAGAAGAGGAACAGCCAGCGCAATCATTCGACTGTCTCCTGCCAGAACAATGCGTCACGTGCAGTGCACAGCGAGGGTGACAGGCACAGGCTCACAGCCGCGCACGCTGGTGTCAAAACCTGCTGTTGATTTACCAGCTGCCAGACCCTGGGCACGGCACTTCACCTTTCTGGGTCCCGGTATCCTCATCGGTAAAGTTGAGGTAATCACATTTCCTACCTGGACGGTCTGTGGTTAAGAATTAGATCATGCGCGTAAGCACTCAACATGCCTGGTGCACCATGAGAGAACTTATCAACGCTAACCCTGAGAAATATCACAGGTGCTGACTTCAGACTTCCAGCCTTCAGAGTCTGAGAGGGCAGACTCCTGTATTTCACACCATAGCGCTTGCCATCATTTGTTGTAGCAGCCTCAGGAAACGGATGCAGGTTTCCACGCCGGACTACCATCCATCCCCCCAGCAAAACGCCAGGCTGAGAATACTGCTAACAGCAGCCAATGGGTGTGAGTGCTTTCTATGTTCTGGGCCCTGAGTTTCATGTGTTGTTCTCCTTTAATCCTCACGAGAACTCTCTGTACAATAGAGGGACTATTACAAGCTCTATTTTACAGCTGGAGAAAGTGAGGCACAGAAGAATTAAAAAGTACTTGCTGAGAGTCACAGGGCTACCAAGTGGCAGAGAGGGGATTGGAATCCAGGCAGCACGACACTCAAGTCCACACTGAAGCCCTCTGCTCTACTGACAGAGAAATGGCACATGGCTCCGTGAGGAGTTCACAGTGCATGGGGAAAGACAGGTATGTACACACAACTACTGGGAAGACCCCTATGCCAGACGGGAGTGGAGACGGGGTGGGGGCGGTGCCTGGACCAGGGCTGGTCTCTTAAGCAGGTCACAGGAGAGCAGACCTTGAAGAATGACTAAGCACTCACACAAAGGAAAGAAGGAACAATATTTAGGTTCAGGGCAAGTAAAGAGCAAAGGCTCAGATACGACAGGAGGAAATGTAGACTGGGAACTTGATGTGCCTCACTATGGCAAACGTGCTGTTTCCGGGGGGGCAGTGAGGCTGGGGGAGCTAAGCGGCTACTCCTCCATTACCTCCTGGTCCTGCTGCCCACCCCTCCCTGATCCCTGGCAGGTTTAGGGGAACGGAAGAGCACTGCAAAGCGAGGTGCACAGGCTGCATTAGACTGCAGGCATCCTAGAGACAGGCTGTCTGCGAGTCGGATCCGCTATGTGCATCACCAACAAGCAGGCCGGTCCCTGCCTCTGGCCTCTTAGACACAATGTCAGCAGGAGACAAGGAGAAAACCAAGCAGGGACCACGTCACATAAGGTGTGGACAGCAGGATGAGAGTAACTTAACCTGCCCGACGAGAAGTTTAAGTGTATCCCACAGATGTGCACCAAACCAACACATAGAGAACGGCTTTGGTAACTCCAGAATCACCATTTGGAGTTGTGAGTGACCCCCGAAGTCTGTGACATAGGAGGAATTGTCACTTTTGTGAAGGACAGATTGTGATTTTGTCCTAAAGCCTGGCTGTAGGCAAGAGGCTCTCAGCTGGTCAGAGAAAGCAGCAGATGGCTTAGTGCTCATCCTCCCACGGCTCCAGGGCTCCCACTCACTGTCAGAGGGCAGTGACGCTCAGAAGGTGATGACAACTTTGTTTCTTAGTGAAAATTACCACTACTACCCTCTCCCCCACCAAGAAACAACCAGCTGCGGAGTGATGTGAAAACAGGAAATCTAAGGAAGTGATGATTCTAAGCTAGGAAACAGAGCTTTGGTAAATTTAACTGTGGAATGCTTACATCTGTCATGTGAATGCAGGTACTATCAACTTCACACAGAAATAAAAACCAATTAGACGACAGGATCAAAGTTCAATGAAATTAGAAAAGAAGGTTAATCTGCGGTATGAAAATCTGCACAGGGAATGCAGTGACTTTCGAGAGAATGCTGTCTGGAGTAAATTCCTTTCTGAGGAAAGGCAGGCACTCCTGAAGGCCTCGTCGAGCAACCTCTGTAACCGTCGGGGACTGACTCGCATGCACGTGAGAGCAGGCCTCAACGGTTCTTCCCTGCTTGCTTCTCCGGGGGAGCTGATACATTAACACCCACCTCAAATGCCTCCTCTCTGTGAAGGCTTCCCTTACCCTCCCATGCAGTGACGCTCCATTTTTCAGCAATTCCAGTCTTGACTTCACATGTCTACCCTCACAGTAAAGAACATGTGTTTTAATTAGTTGTTTACATGTCTGTTTCCCTCACTAGACTGTGAACTCCTTTAGCACGTGGGTTGAGAAGGCCAAGCTCTAGGCAGAATAAGTGCCCAAAATAAGGACGTCAAGTCAAAGCGTGAGAGACTCAACACACACCATCACAGACACACAGCTGGCATTAGGGTGCTATGACAGACAGCTGTACCAATCTGCAAATGGGGAACAGAGCTTTTATAACCCCCTCCCAAATTCAGGACACCACATACAAGCTTTTGAAAACCAAAAAATCCACTGTCGTTGAGTCGATTCCGACTCATAGCAACCCTATAGGACAGAGTAGAACTGCCCCATAGGGTTTCCAAGGCTGTAAATCTTTACGGAAGCAGACTACCACATCTTTCTCCCTGGGAGCAGCTGTTGGGTTCAAATCGCTGACCTTCTGGTTAACAGCCAAGTGCTTTAACCATTGCACCACCAGGGCTTCTTATAGGCTTTTAAAGAATCCAGTTCTCAGTTTAAGTACAATTAAAAAACCAAAACCAAACTAACAAACCAAAAAACTCCACAGTGACACTCATTAGAAGGAAGAGGTGAGATGTGTAAACTACCATGCTCATTCAACAAAGCCTGTCTTGAGTGCCCGGCATGTTAGGGGCCAGGACACTGCTGGGCCCTGCGGGACAGCGAGGAAGAGGATTGGTTCTGGCCCTCAGACCTGCGACAGGCTGCTGAAGAGTTCTGGTGAACTAAAAAGGCAGAGAAAGATGGAAGTTGTATTGTATTCCTTATGGCCAGGAATTTGTTACTGCAGTCCATGTCACTGAAGTGGTTGAAGTAACTGACTCCAGCAGTTGACTCATTCCCGAGGGATGACTGAGCACCTACTGTGTGCCAGGCATGGTGCTAGGCCCTGAGAACACAGGTGAGGATGAGAGACAGGGTCCCTGCTCTCATGGAGCTGACATTTTAGTGGGGGAGAGACACCAAAAATACAAGTAGGCACATAGAAATTACCACTGCGATAGGTGCTCTGAGGGAAATGGATTGGCAGGAAGGCCCGTCAGAGAGAAGGATCAAGGAGATGAACATTCACGCAGAGAACTGACACAGTTCCAGTAAGTGGATCGGCCCGAAGGAGGGAAAGAGCAGGATGCACCCACGAATGGAAAGAGGGCCAGGTGGCGAGAGCAGAGGGCATGAGAGGGGCCGCGGGTAAGAGCTGAATTTAACTGAAGCGCAGTGGGAAACCTTTAAGGGGTGTTGGGGAGAAGAATGACCATGATCTGATTTACACCTTAAGAAACCACATTGGCTGTTGTGAAGAGAATGGATTAGTTTGTTCTTCTGAGCCTTTACTCATTAATAAATGAGGTTAAACAATACCTACCTCACAGAGCAGCTATAATGATTCAAAGAGATTTTGTGGGATGCTCAGCACAGTGTCTGGCGCATAAAAAATTCTCAGCACCTTATTAGTATAAATAGTTTTTGATGGTCTTAAGTATTTCTCAAAATGTTTCTTGGTCTGAAGAGGTAGGTACAGTTTTTCTCCATCTCCAAGTCCTCATCCAGCGTGTGTGCCATCTGGCACGTGTTCTGAGTGCACTAACTACCCACTGCCCAGTGGAGCCCACGCACTGCCTGGCCCTGGGCAGCTCTGCCCTGACTTTAAGATGACTTACCCCAAGGAACTGCGCCTTTGTTTGGGGGCCCATGAGGTAGTGGGCTGGGAGGGTCGGACAGGGTTCTCTTGTGTCCGGGTGGTGGGGGAGGAGGCCTCTTCTTGGACAGGGTGGAGCTGCCACTAGAGGTCTGGGAGCTTAGAGGGAGTGTTGAAGGTGGGCCAGTTGGACCTGTAAAGGAATCGGATGGGGCAGGAAGGTTAATCCCAGTCTTGCAGGCACAGCACAGCCAGTACACGATTACTCCCAAACGTCAAAATGTGGTACGATACATAGTGACATAAAAGCAAAAAGGCTGGATGCGGCCAATCCCAGCCATCCAGTCACTCATGAATTAGGTTTTTAAAAATTGCTGGTAAAAAACAATTTACAACAAAGGAAAGAAGAGTATGTGCTTTTAAGGGACAAAATGCTAGTCAACACAATGCTAACGGGTTTAGGTCACCATTTAGGTACAACAGGAAAAATAAAACACACGTTTTAAACAAACAACTCACGGGAATCATCACAAAGTTCTACTGAGGAAGAAGGGACACAGCACCGGCAGCAAACCCAACACAGAAAGAGCGGAGGATGAGCTAAGCCACCAACGGGCCATGGTGTGAGACAGGAAAGCATTCATGTGATAGCGTTTTTCTCTCCACTGAACTTTTTCTTTTAGTTAGCAAACTTTGCTGAAGTTTTTAAAAAATTACTTTTCTCAAGAATGAAGGATCTCATGTACACAGTCACCTCGAAAAAAGAAATTCAAAGATTTTTTTTCCCTCCAATTCTGAATTGTTCTAGAAATCATAAACCACTTATTATATTGGATGCCTGGGCAACAGTTATATAATTTTAAACACTAATTTCTGAAGATTAAAACAAGACTCAGCTTTCTCCGGAGGTAAAAACAGGCGAGTGGTAAGGAAATTAATGGACATAAATATTCTGCATGAGAACATTACTGCAAAAGTTGACTCTTTTGAACTGTTTTAAGAAAAACCAGAATTTGTTTTTAAAAGTTATGGGAGTAGCATAAATTTTATTAGTTTTGTTCACTCAAAGTGACACTGAAGTGACTAGTATGTGCCAGGCATACGCTGGGCACTTTCAGTTATCTCTTTATAAAATATTACCAGGTGTATGGTTTAACTGTGTTCACGGACAATTGTTTCTGCAAGCATTAAAAGAAAATAATTAAAAAGAAAAGAAGGGCGGGAACAAAAAACCGCCAAGAACACTGTCACAGGAGACTAGATACCTGATGACCCAGAGAGGCTCCAGAAGAGCTTTTTACATTCCGCACGTTAAAGAAAAGTTTAATTACTGCTGGCCTTCCTTGCTCAAATAAGCTTTGCCATGTCCCACAATCCGTTTTACCAGTCAGTAACATCACTGACTTAAATCATTATGCCCCTAAGATAGTCTGATTTTCTGAGTAATTACTATTAATCTCAGTAGAACTGTAATCTGCTTTAGGATTAAATGGTCACAGCTATATAATTTATTCTCTCTGGTCTACTGATGTGATACATGATGGAAGCCTTATTGTTACCCCAAATCAACACTGAATCATGGTATCAGTCACTGCGGGTTTCAGAAACTATTTCTGTAACAATAAAGTGATTGTTACGATTGCTTTGCATTTGTACAATGCTTTGTAGTTTTCAAAGTGCACTCATATACGCTAGTCCTCTTGATTTGCCTAACAACTCTGTGAAGTACGGGGGTTGGGTATTACTGTCACCACTTTGCAGCCAGGAGAGCTGGGGCTTGGTGTGATTAAGGTCACATAGTCAGGAGGGGCCGAGCTGGGACACAGCGCAGGTCTCTGGGACTGGCGAAGCATTGCCCATCACATGAAACTCCTGCTCCTGAAAGCCAGGGCAGCATTTCCTGTGCTTGGCATACGAGGAAAACAACCACAACAAACGCTCAGTATTAGGAAGTACAACTTTCCTCTTGGAAATAAATGGATAATAAACAATGGTGAGATTCTCTAGCAATTTCATCTTTATCGCCACCTAGGGACTTTCTGATGCCATGCATCTGAAAGCTCATTCACTCCAGTGCTTGGAATTGGTTGGTTCTGGTTTGAATCCCTCCCTCCTGAGAATCTGCATTTCTAACAAGTTCCCAGGAAGTTATACATAAGAATCACCTGAGAATCTTGTTAAAATGTAGCTTCTGATTCAGTATATCTGGGGGTGTAAATGCAAATTCTCAGCAGGGGTTTGAACCAGAACAAACTGGTTGGAAGCCCTGATGCAATCAGGTTCCAAATCCTGTCTGGAGATAAAAATTGCCAAAGACAAAACGCTACTGGGGCTTTGTCTCCGAGCAAAATTGTATTTGTATGTGATTTCACAGTAAGATAAATGGCTCTAGGAGTGATCAATGAATTGCTCTGTAATCACAAACGATGTAAAATCCAGCCTCTGAGTCACCATTTCAAAAATGAAGGAGCTAATGTTTCATGGGAGCCCTGGTGGCCAAGTGGTTAAGAGCTCGGGTGCTAACCAAAAAGGTCAATCTACCAGCCACTCCCTGGAAACCCTATGGGGCAGTTCTACTCTGTCCTATACGGTCACTGTAAGTTAGAATCGACTTGATGGCAATGGGTTTTGTAATGTTTCACACATCATTAAACACTTGTCTTCCTTCCTTCATATCATCTGTTAAAATCGGTAGTTATTTATGTCTTTGTTTATTGACTGTACACCCATTAGACTGTAATTCTTGAGGACAGTATTCTCACACAGGGCAACAGATCAAAAACTAGGGGGAGGGGAGAGATGGGAGAAGGGGACAGTGCTAAATCTGAAAAGGAATAGTCAATACTATGATATAATTTCATATTTGGAAAACAAACACACAGACCCACCTACTGTTTTATAATAGAAGCTAGAGAAAGGAAGATGCCACAAAATCTTCTTGGCTGGTAGGGCATGAGTTAAAAAAGGCTGAAAAACACTATTAGACACCAAACAGCAGACTTTAAAACTTTCAGGGTTTAAAGAGTTCAGAAGACTTCCAAAATTAGGTTACCAGTCCTTAAACACTAATGGGGACACTCTGTGCAAAACAAATCTGAGTACTGACTCAGGAAAGAACAAAAAGGGATGGCGAGGCAAGATGAATAGGGGGCAGAGGAGATATGGGAGAAGACTCAGACAGCCAATTTTCTCCCTTTTAACTCTGCCAGGGGCCTGTGGAAGTAAGAAAACTTTCCAGACCTCATTTGCCACTAATATTGGCCATTGTGTAAAATTAGCTTCTATTTCTTTTCTTAAAAACATGGTCTAGTCTTCCAAAGCTGCTATAAATAACTTTGAGGTTTAAATAATGAAAGGTCTTCTAAGATGAGGCAGAGTGTACCTCAGCTATTATGAGGGTTACATGTTAGTTTGAGCAGCAGCTGCACATTCAAAGGCGTTGCAATCATCCAGAAAACGTGTTTTCCATCGTGAGAACACAGTCCTCCTCAGCCCTTTGAACAGTGGTGCACAACAGACCTGTGGTTCCAGAGGGGAGATGGACAGCCGCACATTTTTTTTTTTTAAAACAACAAATATTCTTTATTTGGGAAAGGATTTACAAAATTCCTACAAATAGATCCCTAGATAGTGTGTGTTACAGATTATTGGCTGTTTTTAACCGATACTAAAATGTTGAAAATCAATGTCAATTCCAAGGCAATCCAACTGTGAAGACTGACACCTCTTCGCCTATGTACCTGTATATGTATCCATTAATCTCACTGGAAGGAGCGCTGGGGGCACAACGGTTAAGTGCTTGGCTGCTAAGCAAAAGGTCACTGGTTTGAACCCACCCAGAAGCAATGTGAGAGGAAGAGCTGGAAATCTGCTCCCGTAAAGATGAAACCAAAACCAAAACCAAACCCACTGCCGTTGAGTCAATTCCAACTCACAGTGACCCTATACAACACAGGAGAACTGCCCCATAGGGTTTCCAAGGAGTGGCTAGTAGATTTGAACTGCCGACCTTTTGGTTAGCAGCTGAGCTCTTAACCACTGTGCCACCAGTGCTCCCCATAAAGATTACAGCCTAGGAAATCCTAGCGGTTCTACTCTGTCACATGGGGTCGCTATGAGTTGAAGTAGCCTTGACAGCACCTAACAACAACAATAACCTCATTGGACACACATTCATTTTTATATTCAGCCACTATTGGAAAGGGTCCATAAAAACCATTCTGCTGACATCCACTGTAATTCCCCATTCATTCTGGAGGCACTTGCTAGCCTCTGCACATCAGGCACTGAGCCGGGCACCGTGGATGAGGTGCGGGCATTTCCTGTTCCTGTGGCTCCTCTTGCTCCTCCCGTCTCGTGTTCTCTAAGGGCATCCTCCATTTTCTGCTCTACTCCCTCCCAACAACAGTGGCCCTCTCTACAGACGGCCTCCCCAGCCCTGAGCCTGCCCTTGCAGCCTGCCGGGTTCTTCTCCCTCACTTCAAAAATGATCTCCTGGTCATTATATTTGGACATTCTGCTGGTGCCTTCAACTCAAATGGGTCCTCACCTGAACTAACCTGAGCGCAAAGGGCCTCAGAGGTGCCTCTAACTGAAAGCTACACTGCAGAAGTACATTGAGCATGCACCAGAGCTCAGGAAGCTCACCCACATGCCTACGCTGTGCATCTCATAAGCACTGTGCTCACCCTGGCAGCCCACGGGCAGTTTTCAGGCTAAAGTCCTGCAGACTCTCCAATGGTTGCAGCTGCTGCCTCCTGAGCCCCTCCTAGGAACTGACATTTCCCTGTTTACCGAAGCCCCTAATGGGGAAACAACATATTCTCAGACTACAGAGGTGGTTTGAGAAAACCTTACCAGAAAGGACCTTCAACAAGGGAATCTGCCCACTTAGTTCAGAAAAACGGTCCTTCTGGAAAATTACTCACCTACCATTGAAATATATTTATTTATAAAAATCCAATCCTAGAATCACAACTAGCATGCTTTTCAAGCCTCCTCTTCCTCCTCCTCCATTCTCTAGAACTGCCATTTATTGAATGAGTACTATCTGCCTGACGTAAAACTTCATAACTTTGTATATATTACATCTAGAACTCGCCTTGTAAAGTATTAGTATTATCATCATCATCTTTTATTTTAAGGGTAAAAAGACTCAAGGGTCAGGTAAGTGGATGAAGCTGGCCACAGTCA